AGGAATGCCTCAAATCATCCTTCACTTCTTGGTGTCTGCCCCCTCAGGCCAAGGCAGCAGTTGGAGGTTTACCACCCACAAACTCTGGAACCAGATACCAACAAGGGTGAGTGTACTACAAACCTCAGGCCTGCCCACGGCCTAGGAGAGAGAAAACAAAAAAGGGGGAAGGAGGACAATGGCAGTGGGGGGGAGAGGCGGTACATGGGAGAAGGGAGCAAACAGTTCTGCTAGTAAAGGACAGTGCAGGCTGCCCCCCTGTGTGGGCAGACGCCGGGTGCTGGCCCTCACAGGGACTGGCAAGGATGAGCCTAGGGAGGCGGTGTGTGGCCTCCCTGGGGTTCGCCCTGAGGGCCAGACTGTCCACAGGAGCCACGCGTTTCTTGCAAAGAGTCTGAATGCATGTATACACCAAGCGTCATCTGCAAACTGAAAGTCTTATACTTCTGTTTTCTTTTTTTTTAATTAATTTTTATTGGAGTATAGTTAATTTACAATGTTGTGCTAGTTATACACATACATATAACCACTCTTTTTTAGATTCTTTTCCCATATAGGTCATTACAGAGCACTGAGTAGAGCCCCCCCGTGCTATACAGTAGGCCCTTATTATACTGCTGTTTACAAATGAGGGTAGATCTGTCATGGATGATGAAATAGCTCTCACTTGTCAATGTCTCTGAGTAGTTGCTTCTTGTCATTGTTCATTTTTTCTAACCAGGGACAACTAAAGCATAAGTCCTACATGGGTCTGAGAAGTTTTTCCTGTTGGGGGGTGAGGGGCTTTAATTTCTAAAGGTATAAAGCACTCTCAAGTAAGAAGTAATATATTTAGGTCCTCAATGCCCAAGAATAGGGGACAGGAAAAATAAATGATGCTGTGGTGCAGGGTCAGCACCCCACGGCCCGTGGCCTGTCTTGGTAAATCAAGCTTTACTGAAACACAGCCATGCATGTCTATACACTGTCTACAGCTGCTGTGCACTACAGTTGGGCCAAAGACCGTATGGCCCAGAAAGCTTAAAACATTTACTATTTGGGCCTTTACAGAAAAAGCTGGTGAACCACTGGTAGAGTGTATCATGAAACACACTACAGCTATTAAAAAGCAGAGTAAGGGGGGACTTCCCTGGCGGTCCAGTGGTTAAGACTTCGCCTTCCAATGCAGGAGGTGCGGGTTCCATCCCTAGTCAGGGAGCTAAGATCCCACATGCCTCGCGGCCAAAAAAGGGAAACATAAAACAGAAGCAAAGATTGTAACAAATTCAATGAAGACGTTTAAAAAAATGGTCCACGTCAAAAAAATCTTTAAAAAAACAACAACAACAAAGTCAACCTCAACTGCATCTATGAAGAGGGAGAGATGCTCAAGATACAATAATGAAGACGTTTTATTTCTAACTCTGATCCCTGAGGTGAGTGGGCTCCGTTCACTTGTTTTTTGTTGAGCTTCACAAGAGGAATTCGCTTCTGGGGAAGGCTGAAAACAAGGCAGGGAAGGCAGGACTCTGGGCAACATAAACTCCGGGGCTGGGGCAGCCCCCACCCCCCATGACCCATCCAGGGATCCCCGAGGCCTGAGGAGCGTATACACCCCCTTCCCACGCTAGTTCTGAAAAGGATAAAAAATACTCCTAGGTAAGGACAGAGATCAAAATATAACCATGGCCTTAGGTCAGTTTCC